TGTTTAATGAAGAATAGTTGATTTAACCTATTTATCCTGCTATCTATTTTGGTTTTGCTAACAAAATACTCATAAATTCAAGTTAAGTAGACATATTTATAAAAGGTGAGGAGAAAAGAGTTGGATATTTTTAAATAGACATTAATGATTAAGATATAAATGATTATTAAGAAATTACTACTTGGAGCAATGAAAAAATTATTAAAGAGCTCTAAACTAATGTGGATAAATACTTTAAGTTTGTAGCTGGATTTGGAACAGGTTTTGGAGTATTTTAAAATAATTTAGCTGCTTTAGAAACTATAGTTAAATAGCTTTCAATGAGAGATAGGTTAAATATACCTATCTTAATATGCTAGAATCAGCTTAATGGAATTTCTCCTTTAGATTTTTCTATTAGTAATCATTAGCATAAAGTTATTACTCTTATTCTATCTATGATTTTAAAATACTATGATCATGTAGATAGACTTATAGGAATACTTTGAAAGTAACCTTCCTTAGTATGAGATATTCGACAATTCTTTCAAGAGTTAACATTAAGATGAGTAAGAATTGATTTAAGGAATATACTTAGATCATCCTAAAGATGTACATAATAAGTATGATGAACTATTTACAGGCAAATTAAAGGAAGATTAAGAAGCCTAAGATTCTGTTGTATCAATTGAATATCATTTGATCAACTTGCCTATAACATTAGGGTCTAATCAATAAGCTCTAATGAAGGTGCTAAGTGATTCAGACAGACCAGATTATTTTGAAAATAGCGTCATTCAAAGTATCATCAAATTTAAATGGAACTAATACACAAAGTCATTTTATTAAAACAGGTTCTATATATACTTGATTTTTATGGCTTCTTTTATTTTCGATATATTCTATTCAACTTATGCGACATAGAATGACTAGAATTCATAAGATTAAAAGGAAGTAGACTAGGAAAGTTAAATTCTACATCCAAATATATGGCTCAAGATATCAACAAAAGTATTATGCAGTATTATACTTAGTTACTTATAAGATGGATGGAATATCTTTGATTTTTCTCATATTATTGCTTACACTGCATATTTCATACTAGAATTCACTAATGAGGATCAAGATAACCTGATCTTGATTAAAATTCTTGTCATCGTATTATCTTTCATGAAGTTATTCTTCTTTTTAAGAATTTATGATGGCTTCAGTTTCCTAGTATAAATGATGGGCGGTGTATTTAAGGACCTCAAATATTTTATGATATTCTTTCTCATTTTCATCCTGCAGTTTGGTATGATTTTCTTGGTCTTGTTCAAGGCTTAACAAATTGATGAATACAATGGTGTGAATAAATTAGCTTATTTTTTAATGGCCTTTAGAATTTCATCTGGTGATTTCTAGCTAGATGATTACCACAGCTAAGCAGATGGACTGGTAATCTTTACTTGGGTAATTTGGTTATTAGCAGTTATGACTCTGAATATAGTTTTCATGAACTTTATTATTGCTGTGATATCAGAATCGTATGAAAGAGTAATGTAAAAATTAGTTGCTGAGTCCTACAGAGTTAAAGCTAATATGATTGTTGAGAGGGAGTAGCTGTTTAATGACATAGAATTGAAAAATACTGAATACTTCCCTAATTATATTGCTGTTCGAAGACCATTAAACACTTCGATTGATGAGGCTGGGGAATGGTAAGGATTCATTAAAGATCTAAAATACACCATCAGAACAACAGCTGCAAAACAAAAAACAGAGATTATTCAAAATCTGCACTCTCTTTAAACTTCTGTTGAGACTTAAAATCTTGAAAATAAACTGAAGCTTGATATGGTTATTGAACAGAATTCTAAGCAACTTACTTCAAATGAATATCTTGATGAAAAAATTTCTAACTTGATGAAAAAGTAGCTTGATCAAGCTTTTGAGAACACGAGTAATGATTCTAAGTTAATGAACGCCAAAGTAAATGGACTTGATAGCAAAGTGGATGGACTTGATTCATAGGTTAAAGGACTTGACACCAAAGTCCTTGCCATTTAAGATGACATGGAGTTCATTAAGACCTCCTTAACTTAACTACTTAAAAAGTATTGACTAAGTCTCCATTAAATGCATTTGTAACTTGCTTTTGAATCTGGAGCTAATAATATGATAATTAGTAGAATATATTAATATTATTCTTAAAATTTGCTTAACTCAAAATTGAAATCTATTTTAGCCAAAGGGGGTTTTGGGGTTTTGGGG